AATCTTCAATCTCCTCTCTTTAACATAATAAAACAAAATCAATGGCGTCTCCTAAATCTTCCAAGGAATCAAAATGGTTGAAGAGCAGCAGCAAAAGCTTCAAAATAAGCTTCCAACGTTTCCGACCAACGTCTATCTTACGACAAAGCTCTCTGCGGTCTCCGACGTCACCTCCGCTCCCTCCCCATACCCCGAAAACCACCACGAGGGAAGAGGAGCTCAAACAAGTCTATCGTCATTTCGACAGTGATGGAGATGGCAAAATCTCCGCCCTTGAACTTAGGGCTTACTTTGCGTCCATTGGAGAGTACATGTCCCACGAGGACGCTCAGGGTGTCATCAAGGAGCTTGACACGGATGGGGATGACATGTTGGACTTTGATGATTTTTTGAGGTTGATGAAGAGAGAATCCAATGATGATGATGATGATTTGAAGAAAGCGTTTGAGATGTTTGAATTGGAGAAAGGCGATGGGTGCATAACTCCTACAGGATTGCAGAGGATGCTACAACGGCTGGGAGATGACAAGTCGTATGATGAGTGCGTGGCTATGATACAGGTATATGATATTGATGGAAACGGAGTTGTTGATTTTCACGAGTTTAATCAGATGATGGCTTGATTTTGATGATTCTTTTTATATGTAGTTATTTGTGTTCTTATAATATTTTGTGTGGATTATCGTGTCCTGTAATTGAGAGAGAAGGAACATAGTTATTTGTCCTTCTCGAAGTTGTTTGGTGTTGTAATATATGATGGAAATTATTAGACTATGTCTGGGTATATACAAACATTTGTTTTAATTAATTATCCTTAATCAAACAGTTGGGTTGCTTGTTAGGAAAGATATTTTTGGGTTCGGTAAATCAAAATTTGTTATTTGAAAGTACAAGCCCTACTCCAACCTCACTATATAATAAATCTACCCGAAATCTTTCTAGCTTTCCCAAAAACGGAGAGCGTTATGCATAGAGCTAAATTTCTTCAGGCAAAGGAGAATAAACACCGTTAGCTGGTCAAAACTAAACACACGTGACACACCCTTCTGCATGACTTTTTAAGCAAGTCAATGGTCTTCTCAAAATCATACAAAAAATGGTCACTTCATCCTAGCACAGTTTGGGAAGATATTTTTACATGCTGATTTTAAATGGTTTAAACTTTAAAGCCAATTGTTGTCCCTCTACTTTCATATGTTATTCGTTCTTGTCCCTCTACTAAGGATTTGTTCGTTGTCATCCCTCTACTCCGCCAAATGGCCAAACCTCGCCCCTTTACTCCTCTTTTTTGGTTCATTGCTGTCCCTTCCCTGACGCCGTTCATGTTGCCGTCACTGTTGACCGTTAAGTTCTAAAACGGTCAGCAGTTAAACCCATTTGTTCTTTTTTTTTTTTTT